ATCATAGTTTACATAAAACCACACAATATAATCTTTGTTACATTTCATAGCAATAAGTTTGTTAATATCAACACTAGCTTGTTTTATCACTTCACAGTATCAAGCACCAAAAGGAACACAGGACTGCCTGCCCATTGCAGAAGTTTTCCCAGAAATCTAATGGACAATGAGGACTAAAAACAAAAAGATTAAATAACTTCCCTAAAGATTACACACGTTCTCACTATTCACGAGAAATGAATCCTCTTCAAATTCTTCCTCAACTTCACTTTTATGCTTGTAATATTTGTCACAGTTAGTTCTAACCAGTACCTGGCACTAGTTTTATATACTGTCTTTTCAGGAGTTCCCATAACACCTTGTATTGCCACTGCAGAACACTGTTGATTCTCCTACTCTAAAATTTGGAATAATCATACTGAAATTCTTCTTCCTCTCTGTAGAAAGATGAAGAAATTTAGCTTGCTTAAATATCTTCAGGTCTCTGTCACTGGGGGAGTTGTCTTTTTTAAATTTTAATAATGTTGATTTTGGGACAAGGGATAAAAGCACAGAGCTGCTATAATTTAATACATCTACTATCTCACATAAGCACTTTGGAATCCTTATGTCATAGATAAGGGGCTTTTTTGGATGCAAAGGCAATCATTGCAACATTTCTGCAGAGAGCCTAAAGCAATCCACTATTTGTATTTCAGTTTTTTAGATTTTAAATAAGTAGTTCTTCCCGGTAGCAAAGTATTTCTAAAAGAAAGATTTATCAGTATACTGCAAATCTTATTTTACTTTTATTTGTAACTACAAAAAAAAGCATCAGTATGTTTACACTGCTTCCTTTTGCACTCAAACATTTTACATCCTTTATTTACCAAGGAACAACTCAACAATGCAACAGCTTGCTTACCATGAATCCTTTGATTGTTCTATAATAGGAATCTAGCAAGAGAGCTCCAAGAGAACAAACTTGGGAAGTCCTATCCCAGCCATCTGAGCAGTGCACTAATACACTTGCGCTCTCAACTGCTATTGCCTGCAAAACACAGTTGTTTCTTAGTGAATGTTCTATTCTAGATAGAAGTTAAAATTTAGTAAATAAATACAAGCTACATTTATCCCAAACTCACAGCATAGACCATTTTATTTAACGAAGCCAGAAAAATGTTTATTATGAGGAAAGGATTTGATACTATCAGAAAGCTAGGAATTTCTCTCCATGGAAGTATAGAAAATCCCTTATGTTCTATAGGAAAGAAAAGAAATTCCACTATCGACTTTGCACAAGGTAACAAGAACATCTACAGTGGTTCCCAGTTCTCATTCTACCCCTTATAAAACTAAACTTCTAAAAACCCCCTTGCAATACATACTAAAAAAAGAAGTAGACTACATAGTATAGACCAAACAGGTTAAAAAACCAAAACACAAACACATCATTAAAGATATCCACTTGTTCATCATTATACTACACAAAAGTCAAGGACTAGGAAATGCTTATTAGCTTCAGCTAAGAAACCAAATCTGTTAGCCCAGATATTTGAGGGTTGTCTTTAGGAGAATTATCCACTTTTAACTAAAGTAATTCCTTGTTATTTCACCTAGTAAAAACAAAGATCCAGGTTTTTTCTTCACCAAGCCCCCCTCAGGTCAAGCCCTTGGCTGCATAGGTGCCTGGCAGAGGCAACTGTTTCTCTGAATTCTTCATAAAGAGTCCCATTTCCTTGCCAAATGAAGTCAGCACAGTTGCTTTGGCTTCTTTGCCATTAGTGCCCCAGGAGTTGTTTTTTAGGGTACACTAAATAATAGTTTGCTTGATCCACCTCCAAACTGGCTACACCCTTCATAAATATCTAAAAGAACCAGGGAGCATAAGAATCCCTTCATCTCCCAATACGGTGACCAAACAGCATTCAAAAAATCTCAAAACATTAGCTGGCATATTTAATATATCCAATCATAAAGAAACATGTAATACTTAAAACAGCATATCAGATGTATCAGTGTATACTAAGCACCTACCTCCAAAAACGTCAATTGCAAAATTTTACACATTACATAATATTAAGTATAATTTTGCCTGGTAGAAAGTCAACTTCCCATCAAATAAAGAAGCAGCATGCAAGTTACCTTGACTAGGAAGACAGCAGCATCCAACACAGCTTTGATGTGACGCAACCATCCAGAATTCTCCAAACCAGACAAAAAGTCATTGACAGACAAACCCTTCATGCCACTGACTGAAAGAAACCAAGAGTTAGAAAGCCTTAAGCAGTTGCAGCTACCTATACCCTGCAATGGAGAAGGAAGAATAACTGTATATTGTTTTTAATGCCCTATGTTGTAAGTTGATTAGAAATCTTGCAGGAAACCACCACTCAAATGGTTAGAAGAGGTGTACTACAAAATGTTCTCCATTCAAAATTCAACTCTGTAGAACTACAGTAACCATGAATGACAAGAGTTAGATCTTTGTCTTTTTGACAAAGTAACATTCAAAGCAAATACACTGGTTACCCCCAACAGGGAGCCTTAACCTTGCCTTGCCAAGGAAAGCAACACAACTGCCAAAAGCTTACCAGAAATACTTAAGAATTACAACTGCTAGTAGGAAGTAGCTGCATCCAGACAATATACACAGTTAAGAGTAGTCAGACTGCCAGAGTTTCATCACCTTCTCCACTCTGCTTAGTAGAATAAAGTGAGTGCAGTACAAGGACATGGTGATGAACTGAAAACCATCAAGATTTTGTCTACCTCCAGACTTGACATACTACAATTCTGACTGATCTCTACCATTCTTCCCTAGTATACTTTGGGAAGTATTTGTAACCATAATGCCAATTGAAAGGGCAAGGAAGAACTCAAGTTAAAGGAAAGATGCCTTGCAGCACAGCAGCAAGAGGTATAGAGGTAGACTAAAAGTTTCTCACACAGACACTTACCAATTCACAAACAAGACAGATAACCGAGTTCTTGTACAATTTTGAGTAGCAACTCAATTACATTACTGTCCAAACATGACAAACTTCTGGCAATAAGAAAAGAAATATTCGCTTCAGCTATGTGTGATTCTAAGAGAAGATACCTGAGGTCGCCATCTACAAAAATACCTGCCCCTCCACAGCGGAAGCCTACTTTCTACCAAGCTTAATGGTTGGACTTTATGATTTTAAAGGTCTTTTCCAACCTAAACGATTCTATGATTCTGAGCTAGTGGGCCCCAAATGAAAATAAAAAGGGTCTGTAGCCAAAAGCTATCAGTGGGGATATTCATACAGCAGCTGCAAAGTAATCTTTACCTCTGACTATGGGAGGAAGTGAGTCTGTAGGGGAAGTAGAGAACAAAATTCACCAAGTCATTCTGTGACACAGTTTTATGTTCAGTCACGTCCCCTGATGTAATGAAGGCTATAAACTCTTAAACCACTGCCTTGTGGAGCTTTCCTGTACCTGCACTATATGTTTCTCAGCCTTCAGCCATACAAGTTTTGGTATACTCCCCATTTCTCAGGAAGAGTCAATACTGCCAGTTGCTGCTGAATGCTGTAACAAATACAGGCTTTCAAATAAGTATTGCAGCACCTTTTCTAAAGCCCGCACATCTTTGACTTCTACAAAACTATCTAGCAACCATAGCACAATGAGGTAACAAAACATCAAAAAAACCCTGGATACAAGAACTAATTTTAAAGGTCAGTCTGTAAATATCAGTAAGAGCAGAAAAAGCTATGCTAGTTTTCCCTGGTCTTCGAAGGAGATAGCACCATTAGGCAGGAGTTCTACTTCAGGTGTAGCACATAGAAGAAATCAGCTGAGAACTACTTGATCCTTTCAGCTAGCTCACACTCTCTCTACACCAGTGGTTCCATACACCTGTTCAATCACAACAGTATACAAACAGGTCCACCACTCTATGGTAAAGGAAAAAACCTAAAATATACAAATATTTGGAAATTCAAACATCTGCAGGGAAGAGATTGAACAGACAAGGCAATGTCTAGAGGCACTATTCATGGCTGCTCACCCCTACATTCTGTAGCTTATGGTTTAAAGCACAAGCTTTCAGCTAGAAAATAAAAGTGCTTCCAGCCCTCAGTTTGTTTTTACCCAGATACTGCTGTCAAAATCTGATTTTGACCAGAATTTTCAGCTTGGTAGAAATATTTCATCACTAGTATTTCCCCCTTCTAGCTAGACTTCTATATTTTTATAAACCAAGGCAGAGATAAGAACACATAAATTGAGCCCAAAGAATTACTTTCCATTTCTGTGAATTAACACAGACATTTATTTCATCACTAAGTAGTATAAAAAGAAATTGCATTGACACTGTTTTGAGATTTATATGCTAAAAAAATCATTTCTAGTCCCTTATGGTCCCTAAAAGGGTCAAAGATGATTTATGGTACCACTAAGATGTTTAGCTACTTCACAATAACTATCATTCAAGATAGTTTTGGCTATATGTATCCCATCATAAAAACACATGCCCTGCATGCATGTTAGCCCCAAAACCCCCAAAGAGTGTTCCATTGCTTGATTATCCTTATACACACTACTAGCAATGCCTCAGGCAGCAGTTCAAGAGGTGACTAGAACCTGCAGACTGAAGCACAGTGGGTTGGGGGCAGAAGTTGTTTTTAAACGAACAAACGCCAACAACCCCATACAGACACTCCACATAAGCCACAACCCTCCCCCCCCTTAGTTAACACACTTCCATCATCAAAATACACGCAGCAGGCTAAAGTGGCTATCATTGAGCCTTTTCCTCAAATATTTCCTGCAGAGATGCTGTTTCTTGACACATGCAAAACCTTTTTGCTTATCAGAGTTCAATCTCTTCTGACATGTAATACTATGTTTTTGAGTATATAAAAACGGGACTTGATATTAATACCACAGCCTAGTGGTAGTGGCGTGGTATGTGGCGTCTATGTAACGATTCTTCCATTATCGTTGTATAGATGGGCAGGCAACAGTCATCATGTCCACACTGAAGAAAATTTTAGAAAAGTTTTGTTTCACTGCATGCAAAATACTTAAAAAAAAAAACCCAGCCGAATCTGAGATGAAAACAACTGTAAATCCTCCTAGCATGCTCTATGGTGTGGTCCCATTACAAAAAGATGTTGGGAAGGATTATGTCTTACATTCCACCTGCAAATGGAATCGTTAGATTCTGAAGGAAATCAGGCAGATAAACAAAGAGCCTAGGAGCAGGACACATGCTGAAGAATGAATAACAGTTATTTGTTATAAATAAAACTGAGGACAGTCCCAGTTACAATGGCCCTTGAACAAATCGGGTCACTGGTATCACATCCCTGATTTGAGAACATCCAATTCAGCACATCCAAGGGAAGCTAGTACACAGAAGTTAAACGGCATTTTTCTAATTAAGCTGTGAACCATTTTCATAGCATTTCCCTCCTGATCACCCCACTGACGGCACTTTTCTACAGGGGTCTGAAGAGTAAATTATTGCATATCTCCCTAAATTTTAAGGGTCCTTTGTACCCCTAAAGATGCTTCTATTTCTAGACTGGTATTCAGCAAAACTCTAGTGAATTATATAGACTGAACAGAGGTAGAACAACTGTGTTCATTCACCCCAAAACCTGATCTGAAGAACAACTATAGACATCAGTCATGATTTTGTTTAAATCGAGTTTAAATAAACCAATTCTCCACACAAGGAAAAACTGAAACATATTCCATCCTTAATGAAAGCTACAGAAAGATATTTGGTAAGTACTATTGGTGGGATGCTAAGTCAAATGGAAGGAATACGAAGTCTGTGAAGTTTAACTGTGTGATGCATGCGTTTCTGCAGACATTATTACACAGGAGCAGGCCTCCTTAAAAAACATAAATCAAGATTTATTAGCTAGTGTTCTGGAACTGAAGATACTAGCAAAAGAAAGAGGGATTATGCCAAACTTAAAAACTGAAGTTCAGGGTCACACTGCTCATCTTTCCCTTCAATCAAATATGTGCAGGAATAACCACAAAAATACATATTATCAAAGCTCAGTAGTGTTCCATACAGAGTGCCTGAAGAACAGGTTAGCAGCAGGTAGAGGCTCAATGAGAGTAAAGTAAGACTACACCACTAGTCTAAGATTTCTTGACCAATGTAGCCAGAATGTCTTCATCAATATAGGCTTCTGTACAAGTGTAAGCCTTCTCCATGACTGGAAATATTTGCGTAATTCTAGAAGGCAAGCACTTCTATATGTGGTGTTTGTCAGGTGTGGAAGCCTGACTTCTGCCACTGTACTCTGATCTCAGTATTGATACTCCACAAAGTGTCTGAAGGGTTTTTTTCAGTTGTTTATTAAATAGCTCTTTTAATATTTTATCTAGACTTCTGCCTCTCCATTTTCACCACCAGGTGGCAGGCAGTGGTACGGTGAAGTGGTTCACTTTTCCCCCTGCCCCACTCTCTACAAACACTCTTAAGATGCACCTACAAGCACCAGGCCAAAGGGCTTAAGTTTTGTACAGACCATATGCTTATTATGAATTCGGTGGAACTGAGTGCTCCTTGAAGAATCAGTATTCCATATATGAAAATGTATGTACAGACACACATTATTTTGTGTATTTATATTACACATATGTGTACACATGCATATATACTTGGAAAACACAGAAGTCTCCCACAAGCCAATGACATACTAATCAAGTTCACCCAAGACATATGCGCCACTCAGTTAATTTTCTTCAAAATAACTCCATTCATTGGGTTTACAGTTTAAAAGGTAAAGGTTTAAGGTAATTCATTACCACAAAGCACAGCAAACTGGTACTACACATAAAGCTGAGATAAAAATATAGAAATATCAATACAGTTTGCATAAGCTATTATTAAAGACTTCAAAAAATATTTATCCTATTTTCATATACACTATTATAGTACAGTTAGAACATACCTTCCAGAAGCTTTTGTAAGCTGGATCTCATTACATGAATATTTTCAATGCCAACAAACTGGAACCTAATGTTAGAGTAGTTGTCTTCATTTTCATAGCCCTTCCCAGCAGCTCTGTTTGCCATTGCATTAAGCTTAAAAGAGCAAAATAAAAATATTGAAAACCAGTACTTGACATAAAAACCTCAAGGTAAGAAATGAAAGTCATTCAATTTCAATGGAATGCACTGGGGAAAAAACCACACAAGAGCACATACTATAAACATTCTAATAAATAAAGTTTGTGGCAAATCAACTTGAAAGCATTCAAGTGTACAAAAGGCATGGTACATGGACTGCCTGTTGCTTTTTATATTTAGAGCTGACATAGCTGAATAATGCATTTAATAATTTCCTATTCTCTCCTCCGTATTCCCACCAACTAACCTTTACTTATTTCCAAACATTTCTGAGCAAAGACACTAAAAAACAATTAACCTAAGAAGGAAAGAGTAAGACCCAGACTTAACCATACACGTACTTTCCAGGCATCCTAAAAGTGTCAGTTTTGGGCGTAAGAAGCTAATAAATTGCTGCAGCTATAAAAATTACAACTATAAAAACCACAGTTGGCTCAGTTTCAGCCTGTCAATAGGACC